CAACCGAAGGACGCTGTTGATCCAACCAAGGAAAATTCAGTAGCTCACGGTATTCCATGTAGCCTGTCGATGATTCTTTTCTAAGATTGCATTCCTTGTGAATGCGACAGAGTTTATAGCGGTGAAATGGACCAGGCCTCTTACATTTCAGAGCACGCCTACGAGGCTGACCGCATCATTTACATTGGATCGAAGTACCAATGTTCATTGGTCGAGATGAAGAAACACAACAACACCACTGTACGAAAACAAACGCCTGAGGCAACAACTTCACACCAATCACAGACGACATCGTGCTTAACGGGTAATCAGTTTGTAATGTGTAATCAGTCGATGAAGACTCTCAATAAACAGTCGAAACGTCGCAGTCTAAATCTCAGGTGACTGCATACCGAGAAAAACGTCCATACTTTATGACTTTGTGATTCTGTGACGAACTACAAAATAACAAAATTGAATACAATGCAATGTAATGCAATAGAAATTTATTGTGTAATATTCTTAGCTATATGTGAGGTGTGACATCGCAGGAAAGATAAAAATGACACACAGGTATTCCACACAAATTAAAATTAAAAGTAAATATTATATATATATATATGAACCAATTTTTTAAAAAAAAATATATAAGCCAGGATTAACAGGTATGGTTACTTACTAATTTCTTTCACATTTACATTTCCACGCTGTTGTTGTACTTTGTATCATTATTTGAAAACTAAGGATACATGTAGGTCACGTAAAGAGGTTATGGTAGCTTCACGACAATATATTTATAGCGAATCCTATACTTATATTTATAATAATTTAATTTTTCATTCCTTATCCTGTATGTATAATTATATGTCTTTCGTCGTTTAAACCTCTAGCTAAGTAACTTTGAAAGAATTACGACAATAAAATATCTTGAAAGGTATTAAAAGCGTGTTGTTGTGGCTGGGTTGGTCCTTGAAAGGGATGTGCGTAAATAATAGCCCAAATTACGATAGTTCGGTGATCGCTTTACAGAAATGTAAAATATCGTAAGTATCTACACGACTTTTCGCAGTGCTCTTGAAGATATGTTGACGCGAACTCCCATTTGTTAAAAAAAGAGAGAAATTTGCGGAAAATTCAGACAATTGCAAAATGGCAAATGGGCAAGCGAATACTGTCTATTTACGATAGTTAAATAACGCGTAAAGATCGCCTTCCTGGTCGCTTTACAGTCGCCGTAAAATATCGTAAACATTCTATATACGACTTTTTGCGATGCGCGTAAAGAGAGCGTTTTACAGTCTCTCTCCGTAATCTTTACGCACTATCGTTTACAATGCGTAAAGACGTGGGAGAGCCACCACGCATGCCTGGATACTCCCAATCTAGATCCAAACCATCGATACCAAACTTCCTCAGGGTGACAATGGATGACTTGATGAAGATCGCTCGTTTCTCTTTCGCTGCCACCATCTTGGAAAAAGGGCTGTTTTTTTCTTCATGAGTCTATCCGCCTACGGCAATTTGTGTCTTCAGTTTTGGGTTGACTTTCTTTAGTACGTTGATTCTTGAGTTCAAGTCGTGGTCGTTTTCTTCGTAGATGTCCAGCGTGTGAGTGGTTCGGCTCACTTTCGCAAAGGAAAAGAACACATGAGTACAGAGAAAAGGATCGATATCTTCAGGCCAGAAGGTTCCACCTTTGGGTCGATACTGGAACCAGTTGGTATAGTAACATCCACGGACATACCTCTGATGCCGTCGGCTGGAAATGTAGCACACACCCAAGGAACAGTAGAAAGAGTATTGATTTCATGATTTGGTTGCCTTTGCAGTCGCAGCAAACTAAGATCAAGCAGTTTAACTGTGATCTTTAATACCAAAACTTGTGTGTTTAGTCTGTTATCCCTTGACCCATTGTGTTTGTTTGTTGTCCAAGGCGTGAGAGGTGGGTGATGTCCGTCTGTCAACAAGTAGGCTCAGTTGTTCAAGCATGTAAGGTGCACGTCACACGTCTATGAAGTACCGCGCAATACGTGACACTTCTGTCAAGTGTGTGCCACTTTCTGTGCTATTGTTTAACCATAAAAACACGGCGTTTTGGAGTTAAAACTTGCGCAATGAAATTGAAATTATTGCAGTGTATTCTACTGCATTTGTTTTCTTTGAAGGGGCAGGAAGAGGGAGGGCCAAGCGGGCGACCAAACCAGTGGACACAAAGGTGGAGCAGAAGACATTCTGCCTTTTTCTAAATTAGTGTTTGTGTAAGGAATGTATTGGATTTCTATGGATAAGAGTTATCTATTTGGTATCACCAGATGGTTCGATATGCTATTTTAGAAAAA